CCCATTGCTCATAGAGTTCTTCATTGTGTATCCGACTTGGTAAGGCCAAATCTGCCAGCGGAGACCACCTTCGCAGCTGCTGTTGTCCCAGCGGGCGGATTGCACATCGAACACCCGCTCCGCTAGATCCACCCACGACGGCATTCCAGCGTCCTCCGGGTAGTTCAGCTCTGCCGCTGTCATGGCGGCGAGGCCCCAGGCTACCTGGTCGTCATTACCCATGTATGAAGACCAGTTGCTGGGCATGTAGTCGTTCCCGGCGCCACGTTGGTGATACATGCCCTGGCTGATGGCGGCGTTGTTAGAGGCGTCGTTGGTGAAATACCAGTACCGGATCATGGTGTCGAAGAGTACGCCGCCTTCCCACCAGGTGTGGTTGATGTACCCCGGGATTTGTCCAGTCTGGTTGCCCGTGTAGTAGGACATGGCGTTGAAAGCGGCTGTGGCGGCAGCATCTTTGATGGATTCTGCGAGGCGTCAGAGGGGTTCGCTTGCATGAGTTGATGGGAGAAGGGAACGTACGTTCGTTGGTGATGTCGAGATCGATTGCAGCGGGGGTACCGGCCAAGGCGGCGACGGTGAATGCCGCTGCTATGTAATGAGCGAATACCATGGTGGTTGTGTAAACGAGTGTGGTTGATGATCAGCGGGAAATCATGGGAATCCTCGGGCGGCTTATAATTTAATAAAATCCAGCATATGAATCTCAGATTTGGGTGGGTTGTAAGTGGACATGAGAGTTTGACCATGTGGTTCGGAATGGAGTTTAGTTCACCACGGTCTCCTTCTAGGAGGGGTGAATGGCCCCAACGAGGCTTAGACTTGACACGAAGTGGAGGGTGCACAATAGCCTCAGGGGCGGAAAAATGCTCGAACTGCACCAAGGGCCTTCGATAGGACAAGTTTCAGGGTCCGAAGACGCTAAAACAGCTGGCTCTCTAATAATTTGCTGATTGCTTGTGGTTCATTTCGGTTGTTTTGTTAGCGTCAGTCAAAGTCTGGGGCGGTTAGGGCCCGTTCCACTGCACATGGCCAATGAGCCTCATGACTATCCCCGGCTCATTATTCGGGTTTCTGATATGAGGTTTTGGGTGGTGCGAACTGAAAAAAAAGTCTATAGCAGCTTTTTGAGAGATCTATACTAGTTTTCTGATAATTCTACTTTGGGTATCCGTGAGGTCACCACCTAACTCAATAGTTAACTTAGTTAACTAGTTAACTGCAACATCAAAATCTTAGTCAGCGGGCTTCTTACGCAGGGTCCAAATGCCTCAGGTATCTGCAGGGTGATCCACCAGAGGCATGTTGCTTACCATGAGCAGCCTGTCATTGTTCTGAAGTCGTTTGTACTCAGCAGAAAGCAATTTCTAGAACTCTGAGCTATAACTGTTTTTTTGGCCTTCACTCTTACTTTACAAGTCTGCGGGGATATCTAAAGATTTTGCCATCGATGAGTCGTTAAACGACTCGGTAGAAGCTCGAGGATTGAAGGACGGGTGGGCAAGTCTAAAAGTCAACTAGCCTACTTAATGGCATGAAGGTTTGTGGGCCTGAGTAGGCAGGCTCGGAGTTGGCCTCTAGCCAAGGCAAGCCGAGGTATGATGAGCCTTTCGGGCGAGCGTTGCCATGCTTATTACCGCTGTTCATAAGCATGCAAGTTTAGATAGTAGCTGTGCAGGAGCCTAAGATCAACTCAGTTATCTACTTATTTCTAACAAATTGCTTAGGCCGGTGGAATCTCACGCAAAAGTCTAGCGTAGAATGGCTACACATCAGTTCTTATGGTCAGAATACACGAATAGTCATGGCAGATCAAGAGCAGAAAGACTACTGAAGAGTATCTGCTAATTTACATTTTCCTGTGTCTAGATCTGCTAATGATTCGTTGTATGAGTGCTGCTCTATTGCAATATTGAGGTTACTGGAGCATTTGAGAGATAAGAAAAAAAAAGATTATTACTTTCAAAGTTCTCGATTATGTACTGTACATATCCTGACAGTTACCATCAAGCAATAAATAGTGAAAGTGTGAGTACAAGGCTATATGCTACTGCGATGGGAAGTATGTGAGTGTCAAAATAGCTAAGCAGTAGAAATGGAATATGATTGGACGAGCCACATCCGAGACCCGCGAGGCTGAGCTACTTAACTACAAAGTGATGAGCAGCTAGTTACCAAATGAGGCATATGACAAGGCTGTCAGATTTGTGTAAGACCGCGTAGAACTCCCCAACAACACCCTCTTCTTCATCATTGAGAGAAAGGCAACGGTAGTACGACAATGAGAGAACGCCAACCTCGTCGCGAAGACTACACCGTAGGCTGGGTCTGCGCTCTGCCAATCGAACTAGCAGCCGCACAAGCAATGCTAGACACCGAACACTCCAGCATACGCCTGCAGATCAACGATCCCAGCATATTCATCCTGGGAAGTATCGCCGGGCACAACGTTGTGGTCACCTGTCTCCCAGATGGACAGATAGGCACCAGCTCCGCCGCGACCGTGGCAATCCAAATGCGCTCGGCGTTTCCATCCATTAGGTTCGGCCTCATGGTGGGAATCGGCGGGGGTGTTCCCAGTCCTGAGCACGATATCCGGCTGGGAGATGTGGTAGTTGGTCGACCAGACAATCAAACTGGGGGCGTGGTGCAGTATGACTTTGGGAAGAGCACATCTAATGGGTTTGTACGCACGGGGTTTTTGAATGCGCCCCCGGTTATTCTGTTGAATGCGGTGGCCTTGCTACGGGCCAGGCATTTTCTGGGGAGGGGAACGATGTCTGAGTATATGGAAGGGCTTAAGGACATGCCTGCTTTCACGCACAATACAGATAAAAACAGGGATATACTGTTCGAAGCGGGATATAATCATGCTGGGGGAATGACATGTGAGGAATGCGACAAGGAACAATCGATTCAACGCGACGAACGTGAAGGCCATGATATCAAAGTGCATTATGGAACAATTGCGTCGGGGAATCAAGTACTCAAGGACGCGCATGAACGAGACCGACTCGCAGCAGAATTAGGTGGGGTTTTGTGCTTCGAGATGGAGGCTGCCGGGCTGGTGAATAATTTCCCATGCCTGGTGATCCGAGGCATTTGTGATTATGCCGACTCGCATAAAAACAAGAAATGGCAGCCTTATGCTGCCGGGGTGGCGGCTGCTTATGCGAAGGAGTTGTTGTCGGTCATACCACCAGGGCATGTGGAGAGAACGAGACCTATGAGGAGAAATGGTCCGTGATCAATCTTTGTTCGTTTCGAAGTATATGTTCCGTTTACTGATTATTGTAGCTCCCAGAAAACTCTTCTTGGTTCCATTCCAGAGAGATGGAAACTTCACTGGTCGTGATTCTATAATGAGTGAGCTTGGTAGACGATACGATGCAGCTGCATTTGAACGTTTTCTCAGCATAGCTCTCGTTGGAGATAAAGACACAGGGTGAGAAGATTATTGTGATACTAGCAATGATAACCCTCACTAACAGAGTCAGTAAATCACATATTGCCCTTGAATACGCTTACCGAAGCCCCCAACATGCGCCCTGGCTATCCGTATTCTGGGTCAACGCAAGCAGCATCTCCCGATACAGAAGGTCTTATCAAGATATAGCTAACAGTCTTGATCTACCCGGAAAAGATGACCCAGCCGTCGATGTCGTGGAACTGGTATTGGAATGGCTAGCTGACGAAGAGAATGGGCCATGGCTGGTTATTCTGGACAATGTCATTAACGTGGGTGTTTCCCAAGAGACGGGCCTTCCAGTTCTGCTGGAGGATGACGTGACGGAGACGATTCCGATTGTTTCGTCGTCGCCAGAAGCAAAACATGGATCTTTGCTTGTCACGTCGCGCAATTTGGAGGCTGCAATGAGTATAGCTGGTTCAGCTGAGAACATTGTCCATGTCCAGCCAATGGATGAAGGGCCGAGAAGTGCAACTGGGATTTGGCAGGATATGCTGGCTAACCTGGCTTTAGACAGCCCAAAAGATGGTCGGACACCATTATCATGGGCTGCAGAGGCTGGGTTTGTGCCAGTCGTGAAATTATTGCTTGCTACTGGTAAAGTGGACGTTGATGCCAGAGACTCACATTATGGTCGAACGCCTCTATCATGGGCTGCGGGGGCTGGGCATGCAGAAATTGTTCAGCTCCTTCTAGCAACCAACAAAGTCGACATCAACTCCGTCGATTACCAAAATCGGCCGCCACTGACCTGGGCGCTCTTTAATTCTCTCGAGCGAATGAAACCGGTAGTCAAGCTGCTTCTAGCCACTGGCCAAGCTGACCTAAACATCCGCGATGAAACATCAGACCGCACAGCCCTTTCGTGGGTGTGTGGAATGGGCCACCTAGAGATTGTCAAATCGCTGCTTGAAACCAGCAAGGCGGATGTCAACACCATAGAGAAATACCACGGACGAACGCCGCTTTCCTGGGCTGCATTTGACAAACATCAAGAAATCATGAAGGTGTTGATTGCTACCGGACATGCAGACTTGGAAGCAAGAGATAACGAAGAGGGCCGGACTGTACTGTCTTTGGCGGCAGGGAATGGACTTGAAGCTGGGGTGAGAGCTTTGTTAGAGACTGGGAAGGTGGATGTTAATTCCAAAGACCGGAACAGGAGGACACCGCTATTCTGGGCATTGAAGAATGGACATCAAAATACGGCTCTTCTCCTAGAGGAGGCTTTGAGCGGATAAATCTACTTATATAGTTCTCTCCTAAATAGAGTAGGTCTGTTACACCCAAGCCCCCTTAGCTCTTGGGCTGCCCTAATAGATTGCATCACTATGGCCTAGTCAGTTTCTGGACATATCTGCCATTTCACCGAAGTCACCTAATCATTCACATAGTCTCAAGCCAACCACGAGTTAGGCTCAATCAAGGTATATCTGAAGTCTCACAGAAGCCTCACCGACGATAGCAGCCTACCAAAAGACTAGTATATTCGCATCATCCACACGAGACTATGCTGTCAATGCACCCGAGCTCATTTTCTAGGCTCATAGATTGGGAATGGCACTGAAGAGTCCCAGCACCCAGCCTCGAGGAAATCACCCGTGATATTATTAACAGTGGTGCCATTGCCGAACTCGAGGATCAGGCCGCCCGATGGAGCAGTAGCGTTAAACGCGGGCCAACCCACAGTGGAGCTGACCGTGGAGGGATTCTTGAGGAACGCCGAGACGTGATCCTGCATGGTCCTCGACGTCGCAACTTCCAGAGCTGATATATTTCCTGCATCTGTCATATATGTGCCGAATATCATCAACAGATCCGACCAATGAAATGCACCAAGGTAAGGGACTGGGCTAATATTGGAGAAATTTCCAGCCCATTCATAGCGGTACGTCTCAAGTCCTAAGGACGACCGACGGATAGAGTCCTCGTATGCAGTGCAGATCCATTCGCCTTCTACTTTCATTGTCGTGGACTCCGATGTGCTGGCTTGTTCTCGTGAGGCGTCCGAGCGGATGGCTGGGCCTCGCGCGACACGACCAGCAGCATAACGCGCCGACTCGTTGGAGAAGATGTACTTTTCGTCGGCTAATCCACGTAATCAGTCAGTGATCTTCATGTCCAAAATACACAATCATGGGGTTGTTGGTGGACGAACGGATATAATTAGAGAAGGCGATGGATTGGGTGCCGTTATAACGGTTGATATACTCTTCAATCTGTACCCATGATACTTGGCGCATACATTCCAGCTCTGCCTCTGCGTCATCTCCATAGTTGCATCCGAGGCCTTTCGCGACAATGTGAAAGTCTTCGTATACATCCGCTGTCTCGGTGAGATTGATTGTCACCGACGGAGGCTGGGAGATGACACCAAATTTTGCCACACGAGGGTCATCTGGAAAGGCAAGAGTATACAGGTGAGTGAGCGCCGCTCCCTGGGATTGTCCCCATAGCTGGTTCAAGATTTTGATTAGGATAATATGATCTTCGTGGACTGGAATCTCTTACCATGATATTGTCTGGGTCTCCACCAAATGCCCGAATGTTCTCGGCTACCCATTCTACTGCGGCCCGCACATCCAACAAAGTCAGAGATGTCTCAGTCAGAGCTTTCGATTTAGGATCTACATCGAGTGATAGTTAATCAATTAGCCCGAGTCATTTGCGCGAGGGTGGTTCAACATGATCTTACTGCCGAAGATGTTGACCCGATAATTGATCGTTACGACAATATGTTCCTGGGAGTTCGATACCCAGTTTGATGGTAGCTGGGATGGAACCTCAATTCCGCCAGTGACACCGCCACCACCTGTGACAAAAAGAGCTACAGGCAGATTTGATGTCTTGTTGGCAAACGCTGGGGTCCACACAGCTAGTGACAGACAGTCCTCTGAGGAGGACCAAGCAGTCGATCCCTGATTGGGTGCCTCCCCAATACTCAGCAGAAGGCTTGTAGGCGCGTACTCTGCCCACATGCTGCTTCCGGAAGCTACATACTGCGGACAGGCTAGATACGAGGTCATCAGAAGGCTGCTCGCCTCGGTCACGCTCACAGCACAGGTCACTCACCAGGTCCAAAGCGAGTCGAGTCGATTCTCTTCGATGAGTTGGCCAACTTTTGAGGCGGAAGCCATCTGAGATCCCCGACTGGCGGCTAGTAATATGAAGTTATTATATTAGCCTCGAACCTCTCTGATCCTTGATAGCTAGCTTGGTGCGTACTTGTGCATAGGGAACCCGAAGAAATTGGCGGACATCCGGGTATGTATCATTCAACATGCCAATAAAGGTTCCCGTTCGTGTCTCCACTGTCAAATTTGACCAGTTGGATAGCGATCTCGCCGGTTGCCACGATAAGTCTGCATAGTATGGGGGGTACAACTCTCCAAGAGCGAGAGTAGTGAGCCCTGCCCAGACCAACGAAGCGAAAAAGGTCATCATTTCCAATTTTTCACCAAACGGAGAGATTGCGCTGGAATGCAGGTTTCTTTGCGTTGGGTTAGTGCAATGCGGAGAGGACTATTTATGTATTCGAGCACGAACAGGCCTCACGTCTCACGCGGCGTCTGAGGCCAATACAGCAGGGTCCGTTCCCCACTCTGCGGGGGAAGTGAGGGTCCTACGAAGGACCTCGTCATCGCTAATTTAAACAAAGTAAAGCTCAGATACTCAGACTTGGCATAAGTCTGCCCTTTCTAACCGAGAGGTCCGATTACCCGTGAGTTAGAGTTAGTCTCGACTACACAACCATTCAAACGCATCTCCACTTACCTATCCACATTTTAGGTGGCCGAATCTGGGAATGATATGCATCAGGCCCTGGTCTCTTTACGCTACCTAATCCATACTGAATCCTTTATCCGGCATCCTTGCAGGTAATTTCTCCAACGACTACAGCAGCCATGGCCCTTCGCTGAGTGGCCAACTATTCCGCCGATATTAGTCCGCTCAGACTAAATTTGGATTCCCTACACTGTAGAGCATAGCGAATAGAATGGTCAATCGTCTGATGCGCCGTGTGTTCTGCTACTCTGCCTGGAGGTCCACGTACAGTAACGGTCATGTCGCATGAAGTTTCTCGTATAATAGTTTTTGTGTTGTGGCATTTCGAATGGGAGAGGAGATCTGTTTCCAATAGATTCACGCCACCGTTCGACTTTGCCTGTTGATAGTCTCCGCAATAGTAACATGGCGGGGCACGAATCCCTGAGTAAGCAGCTTGGAAGTAGCATCACGCGTGCAAACCAAGCGAATATTGAGACATAGTTCCTAGACTCAAGTGGAGCCAGATGCAATGGCAGCTTACGCGCCAGGGTCGGTGCCAAGCGAATATTTACTATCCCGATCCCCGGACTCCACTATTCACTGTCCAATAAACATTACCATCCACAATCTATTGTCGCCTGATTCAAATAGAGGATAGATGTGGATTACAAGGTGTCGACCCGTGTCTTGGTACTTGGTAAAGGAAACTAAAGCAGGTTCAGCAAACTTCGGTTTTATGATGTTATCTGATGGGACATATCGCTCCGTCTGCTCAGGTAGACGGAATATATCTTTCCCGGTCTATGGCGCCTGCAATTTTCTCTCCATGTCGGATGACCGACGCTGCAGAGTGGTCCAAGTCTATCTGTGCTTCGACTGAATTGGCGTCTATGGAAATATTAGCTATAGCTATCTTGTAACGGCTGAACCCCAAGGGTGTGGATCCAAGCCCACCACCTTATCCCTGGCCCTTACTGTAACCCTACATCTTTGACAATTAGGTTGATAGTGTCCGAGATCCGACCTTCAGTTATAATGAAGTACTGTGGTCTTCCGATTCCCGTAACCTCACTCACCAGAAAAATCCACTAATGTGTTCATTAAACTAGGCAAGATCTCGTAATACCCTTTGTTGGTCTGATAGCTTGAAGAGGGAGAAGAGCGCCAGGAGACGACGCATTCTGTCTTGGCTGGACCATACCTTTTCATGATAGAGATCGACCGACGTAGGGCTAGAGGAGATAGCTACAGGTATATAACATGTCTCAAGCACTAGAGACACTCTTCCAACTTACTGCCTTTCTTTCTTCTACATTTGTTGTGCATTTAGTACTATTATGACGTGGAATGCTATTGTGAATCTTGGGGAAGCTACTCATGGTACGGATCAGACTTATTACTGGTATAGTACTTATAGTACTGTGCCGGCTAATGTGTTGACTTCTTCTTCCTCCTCGTCGGTCAATGTCACCGTTGCGGTATGGCCTTTCCTCAATTGATTGATACTTTATTTCTATGGACTGACTTTCTTTTGCAGCGCACCATGCAAAAGTACCTCCTTTCATTCGTCCTAACCGGCAACCCCAACACCCTCTGGCCCAACGACAAGATCTACTGGCAGAAGTATGGAAATGCGACAAACACCATCAACTTCAATACGACTATGTCCATTACTTTCGATGATCTTGCCAACGACAAGAGCCTCTTCTGGAATAAGGCGTTGTGGTACTGAGGCAGTGTTATGGATATAGATGCAACACTCCGCATATTTATATTAAGTTTTGTGGTTCTTGTGTTCTAGGCAGCAGTTAGTCTCTCAATTCATGCAAAACATCTTAATAACCTGCTACAGGAACGAACATTGCCTCGACATTGACATTCATCCCTCATTCGCTGTTCTTTTTGCTTTCTTGTTATCCATCAGACAATGTCCACTTTGTATTCTAAGTCAAGACGCCAACTTAAGAAGTGTAGGGATTCAAGTTTTGGACAGGCGCAGGCTGTGCTATCCCGGCCCTGTGGGGATACTCTGTGCCTCGGGAGACCCTATTTGAGGGTTCAGTCGGAGGTGGCCATGTCTTTCTCTCTCCGATCCCCGACGGCCCTACGTAATGTATCCCCACAAATTCCGTTACTTGCCATGCCATGTCACCTAAGTTCACTAAATTTCTGAATCCTAATCAATCCTACCATCTTGGTTATAGTCCCAGACTATCGTCTGGAACCGGACCTGTTTCCTTTACGGTGCTAGTGTCCCCCGGTGTATCATGCACAGTGTTGATGTGCGGGTACGCGGGAGTAGATATCCTCTCACGGCGGAGCGAAATAATCATTTAGTGTATCTGATGGTTGCTCAACGACGTATGATATACAATGTTTCAGGCAAAGCTAGCTGATAGTAGAGAATGTCAATCCCGAACGGGAGAGGATATACGTACATTGCCCACTATATCTAGTACGGACTGGGCGTAGCATACTTGAAGTACTCCAAGTACAACTGGATCTCCTTGGCCGTTGCGAAAGCAATCTTCTTCCACAGGCTGCCAAGCTCGAACGTGTTCTGCTGAGCCGGCACGTTAGAACCCCAGTACGGCAAGGTACCGTTGTTGTAGGAGTCTCCCTTATTCGGGTTTTGTGTCTTGACAAAGTTGGCCCAGTACGAGGACATGATATTGGCAACTTCGTAGTCTGTGTCCGTGTACGAGGTGGTTGTCTGGGCGTAGAGGTTGTTCAACGCATAGGACACCTCCGAGCCGTGGGTGGCTCCGTCCGAGCCAGGGGGCGAGTAGGTCCAGAGGTAGTAGTAAACGGGCTCAGTGGAGGACTGGTTCCAGCGCTTAGCCCATGACCAGGTGGAAGTGCAATATCCAGCACGTAGGATCGAGTTGTATGCGGCCGTGGCTTGGGTGGTGTTTTCGGCCGGATGCAGCGCCAGTAGCTCGGCGGCGTAAGGTCCGTAGGTGGAATTGATCTCCGACTTGTACTCGGCGACGGTATAGGTCTTGGACAGATCGATGCCATCCTCGTCCTCATTGTTACCAACCAAAATGGGCACGTCGTTGGGAGCACCTTCGTCTAGGCTGACGATGTATTTGTTGGGAATCGCGTGGTAATTGAGCACTGGATCGAAGCCGGTGAAATCGGAAACACCAGCACCGCTAAGGACCGTTTCGAGATCCATAGAGCGCAAGTCAGCCACGCTCGTCGCATTGAGTGACTCAGCGTAGGTTTTGCTGAAGGCATACGCCCAGGTCATGTTCCGGTAGTCACTTCCGTATCCCCACAGGTCTGGATCGTATGGGTCCTTGAGGCCACTCTCTGCGATCGCACCCTTGATCATACCTTTGGTTCGGGGGCTGTTGACCAAGTGGTAGGCAGCGCCAGAGCCGAAGGACTGACCAGCCACAGTGATGGACTCGGGTTCTCCGCCAAAAGCGGCGATGTTCTCATATACCCATTTCAGAGCTTCGATCTGATCGAGGAGACCATAGTTGCCCGTCGCACCAGTCTCCTCGGCCAACTCATGCAGCGTGAGCCAGCCGAGAGGCCCTGTGCGGTAGTTGTAGCTAACAAAGATAACATCCTTTGCCGCCATTCCTGCACCATCATAGGTACTCTGGCTGGATTCGCCTCCGGTCGCATAAGACCACAGCATGACCGGCAGCTTGGCATCAGTGGCTGTTGCGGGGCTCCAGATGTTGATCGACAGGCAGTCCTCGCTCACCCCGTCGCCAGCTGACAAGCTAGGACAGCTGGGCCCAAATGAAGTGGCCTTCAGGGTGCCATTCCAGGATGGGGCACTCTGTGGTGGCTTCCAGCGGTTTTCTCCACCGGTTGTGGCGGCATATGGAATACCCTTCCAAAAGGCGATGTCTTTCCAGTTGGTTATGTAAGATGGGGCACTACTTTCGTTGAATGCAGCAGCACCTTGCACCTTGCCCTGGGAGAGCTGGATGGTCTGGTCATACAGAGTGGCGCTAGCTGGAGCCAGTAGGGAAAGGACACTGAGGCCACGAGTGGACCTCTCGTTGATTCTCATGTTCGCAGACACTGTAGGAAACGAGGGATTGTATGTGATGTGAAGCAGAATACTGTCTTCATCTCTCTTGAAGGCCGAAGGAGAGAAGGTTTTTATACCTACCCTTGGGCCTAACTAACGAATTACAAGGCATGCAGATCCCTCGGACTTCAAAACCATGGCGTGTCAAAACATCATACGTGCTCGAGGGCAAATAGCGCACGCCATGCATGATGGTTTCTGGCTACCATTCCGTTATTACGATCCGCACCGATTATAGTAGTTGACGGTGCGTTCATGACCTTAATTGACGGCGTCGGAGATGGTGGCCCAGACGTCTCCGATGTCCGTCCGCCGGTTCTCGTGAAGATATCAGCAAAGAGCCTGGTGAATAGTGGGTAAAAGAAGGTTATCGGTTTCACCCTAGTTTATTAGGGCAGAGGACGCGCAAAAATGTGGGGATTCTAAGCACCTGCTCGGAATTATTTACTGGTCTGGGTAGATGGGACAGCGCTATTCAATCTAAGCCTTCCATCATCAATGAAATCCGCCGATCGTTCCGCTCAATTACCTATTCGAGCTCGTTAACGAACATTCTTACTATATCACCGGTCTCAAGCAGCTGTGCAGCGACTCCAGGTATAGCATGCATAACCCCCTTGGTTGCAATCTAGCAGATATTGAGCTACTTCAAGTCACGACGGCGAATATCTACGCGTAATCTCGTTGCAGGACGTGCTTAGCTGCTCATTCAACATCCAAAAGTCAACCTCATCTCTTGCTCCCAGTCAAACGTTTCCAGAAACGCCATAAAATCATTGTCTCCAATATCTCCTCCTGGTGCCTCAGTATCCAAAGAGATGTCACTAGAAGCTACCACGCCTACCGGTGCTGGTGAGAGCACCCGATCTAGCGCCTGGGAGATGATCCTCTGCCCTTTAATGCAGATCTCGTAGTCACCCTCTTGCTGGCGAGAGAAGGTTTTCAGCTGCGCGACAAAAACGCTCAACTTCTGTATGATGTCGGAACGAGGAAATGGTGTTTGTGGCGATACGATGGCTACGCTACTTTGCGGCTGTGATCGTCGCAGAAGTTCGGTGCAAAGCGTACCAGCGGCAGGAAGACCGATGTAGCAGAGCTGGGTTGGTGAGAAGTGGGACCAAAGGTACAGTTGTATAGTCCGAAACTCACATCTAAAATGACGCTTGGGTGGACTCGGCCTGAGCGCGTCTCCAATGATACCATATGCAATAGGGTGCTAATGATTTCCAAAGCCTTGTTGGCGAAAGCATCAATACCCTTTCCAACCCGTTTGTAGAGAGTCTGCAATAGCAGGAACTCATGGTAAAGAAATTCCACGTGATAAGACGCAACTTGAGGATCTGTTTTATCCTCTGTCCACTGTAGGCATGCAGGTAGACTGCGTCGTAGTTCGTCTGACTTTTTGCAAGCATTTCTGTTCAGCAGCTACGAGTTAATGCTAATCCGATCGTAGTTTTGATCTCGTTCCACTCACTGAACCTTTTCCTCTAACCCGTCTAGCCTGTTACTGAGTGATATTTCCAGCGCGTTTTCTTTATCGATACTAGCAGCCAGTCTGGCTCGAGCGTTGGCTCCTTTGTCGATACAACCGTCGATATTCCAACCTTCCGCATCTAAGCGTGCAATAGCTGCATCTCTTATAGCGGGTTCGGCAACAATTTCCTCGTAGCTCATGTCCAATGGGTATTGGATATTGCAATAACGCCAACATATCCGTGGTGGCCTGCCCAGGAATGTTGCAAGCTCTTTGTCAAGCGCATATGCACCAACCATTGTTCTCTTCCGAATCTCCTTTAGAAAGAATGGAGCTGTACTTTCAGTATCGGGCTGGTGCAGTCCGAGTGCAAAAACTGTGGTCGTGATATCTCCGAGCATTTGCCATGTTCTGTGATCTAGGTTTATTTTAGCTGGGATATGAACCATGATATACCGTCACTGACATACCGCTACTGCCATGCATATGCGATAGATAGATTGCATGTTGGAGCATAGCCCACGACAAAGGGTCACTGAGGGTCCCTAGATGATTGCAAAACTGCAGACATGTCTGGCTTGCCTGCATGCATATTTGTCGGAACCCTTCTTTGCTCGTAATTGCGTCCTGATGCTCCAAGCCCAGACTATGCGGTGGTATTTGGTATGTTGCCGTACCAGCAAAGCCGAAAAGTAAAGATAACATCTCCCAGCGCGGCGATGCCAACGAGAAGTACTCGGCCAACGACATCGAGTTATGGGTCACGATAGGAGTTAATGTATTCTTAAAAAAGGCCTTGGAGAGATCTAGAAGGCGCGCATACTTGTTTCCCGAGCCCTGGATTGCATTGCGGTAAACCTCTCCTAGGACCTTGAACAACTGATCCATCAGTTGGATACCGAAAACCCATCCCGTCGAAATGGCAAAGCGCTTCTCTGAAATTTCGGCATACAACGGTAGGTGCTCTAACAGAAAGAGAACCTGGGCACCCCGTGCCACCTGCTGAGGATCGATAGGGGTTGATTTGGTGGATGAAGGAAAGTCCACGACATCCAGCTCACTATTGCTGAAAGCACCAGAGTAACTGGTAGGGCCCAAGAACCCCGATCCTGAGAATGGAAGCTTCGACGAATTGGGAAATGCCGCTGACCCTAACACAGTCACCGGGGATGAAGCGCCCAGACTATCCCATGTCAGTGACTTTGCAGGCACCAGCGTTTGTTCCTTGGTTGCTATCTTGGTGGCCTTCAATGGTCGTGATAATTCGCGCGGCTTAGTGAGCGGAGCTGGGTGGTAAACACAGAGGTCCGATTTACCCCGTCGGACACATCGATTACATACTGGAGCTGAGTGGTCGCATCGGAGCTTAGACTTCCTGCAAGGCTCACAGGATGATAACTGTCCATTACGACGTGGAGCAGACATGGCGATGCGCAGCCAGATGCCTGTGAGTCAAACGTAAATGAGGTCCGTAATTGAGGTCCGACTCCGAACACCCGACAGAAAGAAAAAGAAAGCGACGAGGGAGCGGGGGGAGATAAAGAAAGGAGATAAGTGGACAGGCAGCCTTATTAGCCATTGTTGTTTAGCCGTTGTTAGTATAGCCTCGTTCCTTTGCTGCGAGTCGAGAGACAGTGGCTTGCGGTCCGATGGCTCGTGCGCCGAGCTCCGAGTGCCGACCCTAACCAGTTCGCCAAGTATATGCCTCAGCTTGCTTGCATCGAGTATATAAAGCCTTCCCCAGCAAGGTCACGTAGAACTAATAGACAAGAACAATCAAGAGCAGTTGCAATCAAGCACTCAGTTTCTCTCAAATCAATCATTCCACCATTTTCACATCCTTGCAACAATCAACTCCACCATGCCTCTCACTCCATTGAATGGCCTCTACCGATCCTTCAAGGCCAGACAGACTAACAAGGCCAAATCTGGTGGATACGTCAAACCCACGGAGGATCACGTCGAAGACTCCGCATCTGTTCTCAGCGACGCAACTACCCTGGCTCAGAGCAAGACTAGGCCCCAGAAGACGGCCTTTTCCCAGCAGGGCCCGGATAGCATCGACTACGGTTCTACTCAATACTGTAAGTATGTGGCATTTCACAGATAGTTAGCTGCTTAGTTTCAACTGACACGGCATGATATAGCTATGAGGGGCATGTCCACACGCGCGTGATAGTGTTGGCAACAATTTTTACGAGGGATACAACCTACTTGGTATAGAACGGATTGCGTGATGGATATGCATGAAGCTTTCATTGATTGGATTATATGTAATACTTAATATCTCGTTGCATTTGAGAAAGGAGTTTTTATGAACTAAATAAGATTGGTTTCGAAGCTATTTCATATACCATGGTAATACATAGCTCGGTGTGCATAATCTACAACTGAGCTGCCGGCTTAAGGCAAACTAGCCTTTTGGACAGAACAACGGCACATTTGGAGACCCTTTGTAGCAGGAACTGGTGTGTCGTAGAAATGTGGTACAAACCTATCTAAGAGCAGCCCCTCTCACTCTCAGTCGACTTATTCAGTTGAAGACCCAAGGTTGTGTACCATCTCATATTTTGCAGACTTCACCAGCAAAAAAACAACCCCAGCTGCTGGGTGATGAGCTAGTCTGTCTCTTGCACGTCAACACACTGCCTCTTTATTCGGCACACCCCAGCTCTTCATTGGTGGTGGTGGCCATATTCTTGGGCAGTGATTATCCTTGGATTTTACGACAACGGTCAGGTGCCGGATCGAACGCGCAACCTTGATAGGTCATCACGTGATCCTTTCGGCCGACTGGTCCGCTTTTATTGCTAGATATTTATCACGTGCTCGTAGATGAGAAAGCAGACTATATCGATATATCTAAGTGCTACCGAGGTTGTGCAGTAGACCTCTAAGCCACTACAGCTCATCTCCTCCCAGAATGCTAAAACCCTCCTGGTCCTCAACACCCGCGCTACCATCGACAACATACCAATCCTTTACGGTCGCAGATCCGTTCACAACGGTCTCCCAAACCTCCGGAGGACACGTCTCGGGACTCAGGACATAGCACTGCGGCTTTGGCATAACAGGAGGAATATTTTTAATATGCCACGTATCCTTGGGTCCAATCGTCTGGAAATTATCGCCAACAGCTAAGAGGCCAGTCGGGATATCCTTGTTGAAAGTCGCCCGCATGAAGATCTCATACGCTGCGACAGGCTGGTAGGAGGGGACCTCGTGCCCGGCTTGAAAGACGCGAGTGAAGCTGTAATTGCCCAGCTGGCGGGTCATGCCGCTAACCCCGTCGGGCGTAAGAAGTGGGGAGTATCCCGTGTCGGCAAATTCAGTAATTCGCGAGTAAGGGACTGCAAGGCTGGCTGTTTCGCCCCCGACCCAATTGCAGGCGTAATCACGATCTCCGTACATCATGTGCACTTTCACCCCGCTGTCGAGGAGGTAACCAATTGCATCCAGGAAGCCGCCATGGACGATGTCAAAAGTATTTATGAACTGTGTAGCCACGGCACTCGAAGACGATGTGAAGTTGACGGGTACCCCAAGAGCGGCCAGAACGGACTCCTGCGTCAAATACCCGAGCATGTGCTTGGCAGGGAATGGGTCGTTTTTAGGATGGGCAATGTCGTACCACCCACGATTGAAGGTGTGGTAGTAGGTGACGGGACCATCTCCCCATTCGAGTGCAAGACCTCCGCAAATTTCAGAGACATTCTTCCTTGGGTGAGGCAAGCCGGAATCACGTTCTTTCAGAGCCGCTTCACAGGCGAGGGCCTGATCGCGGTAGCCTCCGGGATGCGTCCAATTATACATTAGTTCTTCGTAGAGGGGTTTATCGAAGATCTCGAGGCCGTAGGTCTGGACAGAATTAGACAATATGCAAATTTAAATAAGACGAGGGTAGTCTTACATTATTGTACGGCCAAGTAATGTAAGCCTCTTCTTGGATCACCATATCCATCAAGCCATTCACGATGCCAAGTGTGTCGAGGTGCAAGTACTGTGCACCGTCTTCTGCAGTCCCCTCTGCAATTTTGTCATTCTGCTGTTGAAAGAACCGAAAAATACCTGGACCATAGTGGCCTCCGTAACTTTCAGCCCAGAGACTGACGCGATCATCATTTGGCTTGTAGTGTGGGAATTCGAAGAACCAGGTTTGCGCGAAATGCCATAGAGCATGAGCCGCAAATGCAGTCCCATTAGCTGTCTGTGCAAGCTTCTGGCTTGCAAAGGTACCAACATGGTGGGTGAAGTTGGACTGAGGAATATCAATGGAGAAATCACCGGAATGGATTTCTTCTTCGCCGTCGGCAGTCCGAACCAAAGTGCCATTGGTTGGGACATCGTATGAGAAGCCGACTTGGGTTGGCTGATCAAGGAATAGGAGATTGACTTCATTGTTCCAGCTCCAAGGATTGAGGACTGTGGTCTTGGAGTCCGATGCAATGGAACAGGGGCCTAATTCTTCAAGGAGCCCCATAAGCGATGAACCACCCGGACCTCCATTGAGCCAAATGGCCAGAGGCGCATTGCTAGGATCTTTGCGGGCTTCGAAAAACCAGAAGAAGCTGGTTGGAAGTCAATGATCGCTCATCCTCCAATGCTTCAAAGTCTACTTACGTGTTGATGGGATAATCCTGAACTTCACCTGTTCCGTCGGAAAGGAAACCGGGGGGAAGGTGTACATAGCCCGAATAAGATCGGACACCCGGCGTGGTTTCACAAATTCCAGGCTGACAATCAGTACGGGGATGAGCATAAAATCCATTTCTAGGTCCTCTGTACACACCTCTTTGAAGGAAATGGTCACATTCTCATGCAATTTCGACTTGAGCACGGTGATGCCTTCGGGCTCGGGAGGGAATTGAGCGGTCGCTAGACCCAGAAGTCCCCCAAGCACCAGACTAGTCAACATGGTGAAGAGGCTGAAGGCAATGATACTTCAAATATGACAGCCTGAGCTTTACTGGGTATACCGGAGACAACAGAGAAAGCATCAACATCGTGAGGGGAGAAGAGCGTGTAATACGCCGCATGACTAACTCGGAGTCGGAGCTAACGCTTATCAGGCCCTTGCGCCGGAGTCCGTCGGCCGTGGGGAATGGCGTTCTTAGTGGACGAATGGCGACATCCATCTAGTTAAGAGGCAGATACGTAGCTGACAAAATGGGCTACGTGCAGACGCTTCGGTGCTGGCGCATTGCAGAGCGGAACTGGCGATGGACTGACCAGATTATCCAGCTCCGGGGAGCTTCACAAACTTGATAAATCGATAACAGATGAACGACTGGAGTAAATGCCCCACTCCTGGCTCAATGTCATAGGCCCGCTTGTAGTACTTTGTTTTTATTTCATTCTTGGGAGACCAAAGATGGGTAAGTGGGCTAACGGGTAGAGATGGCAGATTAGGTAGCCTAACGGTCGGAGATTTCCCAGAGTTGGAGCACCCAAAGGACCCTTATTTAGCCTTTTATTGCGGTCAACCATAGTGTTGACTAATATAGTAGCTTTGGGGTGACAAGCTTCGTAAGCCGATCAACCGTTCGGAGTATCGATGCTCCGCAATACAGCGGGATCGTGTTTCAACTTTGCCTCTTCTGCGTTCCATGTTTGACAAGGCAGATGTCAGTGGGATGACGAATAAAGCGTCGGAGAACATCGCTTCCAAGTTTCACATCCCCCGTACGTCAAAGAGAGCAGAGTGTATTGAAGGTGGGTGTCACAGCCCAAGAACTACGGCGAGAAAAGTCTGTTGCATGCAAGGCATCCCTTTTCAGCTTTGAATTAAGGGGGGAGATTGTGGATATATTATTTCCTATCGATAAGCGCACAGTCTCCGCAAATATCGAAGACCCTGGCAGAAGAACCCTGGGTGCACGGAAGATATCCTTGGTCGACCAGACTCCACCCACTTTCCGAACGGGTATTGTGAGTTTCCTTATTGGTATGGTGCCAGTTATTGAAGCGATCAAAGTGGTTAGTGTGTTCGAGATAGACAGTGGGCATGTCTTAGAGCTCGGAGGACGGAGTAACGCCATCGGGATAGGATTTGACGCCTGGAGGGGCGATGACGCGGAGGGACGAGGCTGGACCCAAAGGGCCGCGTGGCCCTGGAGTCGATCGGCTGTTGCTCGACTGGTTGGGGTTACTATGTATAGTGTCTTTTTTCAGCTGCCATCTCAATGGGCATTGATCGAGTGTGGCAGGACATGATGACAATGCAGATGCGTAAGAGAGGTAGATGATCGACGAGGATGGAAGAGACCCTGAAGACCGGGTGGACACTGTACAGTGTATAGAAGTTGGATGAACGTGGGCTGGGGAATAGTGGCTGGAGAGATAGAGAGAGAGGGAAGATTGAAGAGTGAAAGAGGGACGCCGATCAGGAACCCGAGCAGCAAACCAGAATTAGCGACTGACGACCGGCGGGGCTCCACCAACAAAACAACGTCCAAACGGAGTCCCGCTGCGCTTTTCACCTGCCGCCGCTAAGCTTTTTTATTCTCCTTGCTGTCCTCTTCCTTCTCTTCTTCTTGTTCTTCTTCTTCTTCTTCTCCAGCAGCATTCTGCGGAGTTTCTCCTGCCCGGTTCCTGTCGACCTCCCTTGTCCTCCCATCTCTCTTACGACCTCGCCAGTTCGCTCGTGTGCGACCGTCCATCCATCATGGCTGCTAAGTCCCAATTGCCGACCGTCAACACGCCTGTGTCCGCGGAGCCTTCCAAGGCCGCCATGCACCCGGCTTTCTACATCGCGTACGACTCTATATCTGTGGTGGCTGCCTATGGAATGTTCATTAATGTCTCTCTAGTACCTGGATTGCTCTCAGTTCCGGTGTGATCATCTTCAACAAGTGGATTCTCCATACCGCTGGATTCAGTGAGTTGACCCCCATCTTCTGCGCTGTCGCAGTATGCGATCAATAGACTGACCGTCGTTACTTTTCTCTTTCACAGATTTCCGTACGTCAATTCCAATCTTCATGCCGAGATAAATCGTCGCAAGCGACTAACATGCTCCAGCCATCTTCCTGACCACATGGCATCTCGTTTTCGCTACCATCATGACCCGCCTCATGGCGCGGTTCACCACTTTGCTCGACTCCCGTCACCAGGTGCCCATGACCTCTCGCGTATACATGTCAGTGAAATCGTCGTGGAAATTACAATCAATGGCTGTGTCTAATCGGATGTTGTCATTATAGGCGTGCCATCGTCCCCATTGGCGCATTCTTCTCTCTCAGTCTGATCTGCGGCAACCTCGCCTATCTCTACCTCAGTGTGTCCTTTATCCAGATGCTCAAGGTGAATACATTCGACTCGATGTGCAAAACTCCCGCTAATGTGGTCAGGCCACCAACTCTGTGGCTACACTGCTTGCTACCTGGGCCATGGGCATTGCGCCGGTGAAGCTCAGCCTGCTCGGAAACATCTCGTTCATCGTCCTCGGTGTTATCATTGCCTCCATTGGTGAAATCAAGTTCACCATGATCGGATTCATCTGTAGGTCTTCTTCTACTTCCTGCGACTGGCCATTTTATTAACACTGCTCTAGGCCAGTTCTTCGCGACCATCTTCGAGTCCGTCCGTCTGGTTATGGTTCAGCGCCTGCTCAGCTCTGCCGAATTCAAGATGGACCCCCTGGTTTCCCTGTACTACTTCGCACCTGCTTGCGCCGTCATGAACGCCGTCGTCACTGCGGTTGTCGAGCTCCCCTCGCTGCACATGTCGGACATCTACCAACTCGGCATGGGTACTCTGTTCCTTAACGCCGCCGTGGCTTTCGGACTCAACGTTGCCGTCGTCTTCCTGGTATGTCTTGCTGAAACTGAGTTCGTCAGCATCAGTTCGCTAATTTTCGGTAGATTGGCAAAACCTCCGCCCTCGTCCTTACTCTGTCCGGAGTTCTCAAGGATATCCTCCTTGTCGTTGCCTCGATGGTCATCTTCCGCGACCCCGTTACTCCTCTCCAGGCCTTCGGATACGCCATCGCCCTTGGTGGTCTGGTTTACTACAAGCTTGGAAAGGACGGTGTCAACAACCTTCTGGCCCAGGTGCGGTACCAGCTGCTTGGTGGTCCCCGCCCCGAGAACTAGAGTCGACTGTACATAGGATATGTGGGGAGTAGTAGTTGGTTGGCAGATATAGAACGTACATAGAATCGGGCAGGGCCCCAATTGTATCTTTATTATATGAGGTGTAAACTGCGAAACGTGAGTGAGCATACTCCGTAGTCAGGGGGAGATGCCAGCATCTCTAGCCTAATCACTTCGCTATGCGCATCATCTTTACGGTATTCGAAAAAATAATAATGGCAATACTTGATACCATACAGCTGCGTACAGAAGTTGCCGGACGCGACGCGCTCGTTTGTTGCTCTTTTCGGGTGGGTCCATCCTTGTCGCCTGAGGCAGAAGGCGGATATCCCACAGCATCTCATCTCCCTCCCCCACAACTCTTCTGGCTCGCCCACTTAGTTCAAATCCTAGGATGTCACGCTGGTCTGACATTTTCAGGCTGGCGATGAATATTATACTGTGACACTTTTACAGTATACCATTGGAGTATACCCCAGCGACTGGTGTGTTACTATTTCTTACTAGCCGTTGAGATATATATACTACTGCTACTACCCTCCACTTTAATAGTGACAATAACAACTACTACTGGTAACTATTGACTGATCATCATCAGGTATACTGTGAGCGAGCCTCCGTCCACTCAGGCTGATACCCCAATTTAGCTCCATTAAGATCGAATCCCGTCCTATCGCCCGCATCGAAGCCGCTCTCATACGCACCATAGCTGATCAGCTCGATGTTCTCCAACTTAGCACCCGCATCCGTCTGCGCCCACAGGCTGAGGCCAATGGTGTTCTTGTCGCGGTTGTTGATGATTCCAGGTGGTATGGGAAACGTTGTTTGCGGCCCCAAATAGGGAACATATTTGCCATATTGGTATCCATTGATGAAGAGCTGGATGCGCACCGGGTCGACGGTCGACGGTGAGGTGAATTGGATACCGAGAGGAACGTCATAGTTCTTGGGAAGGTCAAGGGTGAAGGTGGTCAGGTAAAATGCGACTCCTATTACTCTGGGTTAGATGCAGATAACAACGGGCAGCGACATCAAGGATATTGATGCTTACCTGACTTGTTCAGTCCATCGAGCGGAGATCCATCCGTCCAGCCGTCCGATGACTTCGCCTTGTATCCTGGTAGATGCCAACCTTGACGCTCGGCGAGCAAGCCGCCTTCGTTCATGGGTGCTCTCACAGGGTCAAGCTCATATGCTCCTATTGTCACAAAGAGAACAATGTTCTTAGTCTAGTGCGACGGAGAGAAGGGGCCCAGTGGAGTCCTTACCAGCGGCACCTCCAGCGTTGCCTTGGATCTTCCAGCTCGTGAATGAACCGCCATTGAGTGTTGCTCCGAGAAGTCCTCGAGGGTTCTCCACGCCATCACCGGTAGACGTCTCGTCATGTCCGGTGTAGTCGATCTGGGTAAAGAAATTAACCATGTGGGTCTAAGCTAGCGTATCTGCGTGCTAACTTACCACAACTGTCAGCAGATTATCGGTCTGCTTCAAGGTATGGTTGGAGAAGCTGATAACTGCGTTAGACGATGTTTCGTCGGCATCACCTGGAAGCGAGGCCACAAGATCCCCGTTCAGCCAGACATTCCAACCAAAGGCCAGACCTCCTTGCGCAGTCAAGTTTGCTCCGGTCACGTTGGCACCATTGAATCGACCGCGATAGATCTTGATGCCAGTATAATAGCCATAGTCGGAGGCAAACAAAACAGGCAAACTGAGTGGATCGACTGGACTCAGCGTTGTAGTCTTGTTGCACACCGTCCACTTGGAGTCATCATAGGAAGACTGGGTCTCGGGCAAGGAGTCGCGGACTTTCCATCCGGTCAAACTGGGGAGCGTAATGGTGCTGCTATCGGCGCCACCAATCGATCCCACAAGGCTCCCATAGTTTGTTTTCTTGACGGTGATCTCCTTACCGTTCCATTTGACAGTCTTTGCGGAAGACCCAGCGAATACTTCCACGGTCGTGGCATTGTCGTTGTCTCCAACCAAATCCACAACGCTTCCAGAGATACTCACATTGCGGACTAGGTATGGGCCCAGCACAAATATCTGCTGTTCCGCTGTCACATAAGGGTCTGTTGTGGTAGGTGGTGCCCAGAATCGGAATGCCGTCTCCGTCTCCAGGAGATAGAAAATGGCGCCATTCGAGAACTTCACAACGCTGCTACCACTGCCTTGAGTGTAAGTGTATGAGGTAATAGTACGATTACCTGAACTGCTAGTCAGGTTCACCGAATCACCATATTCCTCGAAGGTCAGATTAGTCGTGTTCTTGAAGGCAAACGACACCTCCTGTCCAGAGCGTGCATAGAGCACGACAACATCAGTGTCCCCAAAAGTGCTGTATGTCGCGATGTCGGTTGACACATACAAGAGCGTGTTATGACCGAGTGGGTAATCAGTCGAGATCACCTTGCTTTGCCTGCCTTGCAGATTGATATTGGGTAAGGTGAACGCGCCCGCAGAAGTATTCACATTCAGGGAGAACGTGATGTCTGTCTGCGAGGATGTGGTAGCTTGCTGCACAACATAGAAACCGGCGGTCGTGTTGGGATTCCGAAGCACCCATGTGTATGCTGAGGTGGTCGATGTGTAAGTGGTGCCATTCCCTTCCATTTCGACTCCCAGCAAGCCAGAAGACACTCGAGTGAACAGACCAACGAGCTTCGTCTGACTGAGCTTGTCTCTGATTTGTCTAGTCTCTCTAAGAGGAGCGCTGTAGTCGTCTACAGCCAGTAAGTATGGCTTTGCCTGCGGAACCTAACGGGAGTACTTACATGAAGTATACACCACAGGTGCAGCTAGATGGCCCCAGTTTGTACCCCCGTACAACATGTACAGGTTCTGGAGGGTGACCCGCTGACCAATATTGTTCTTGTAGTACACATCCGCAAATTGTGGACTCAGCTCACTAGTGCACTGGTCGTAGAAAGAGTCGGCGCCCCAGGCAGAGAACCAGCCACCTTCGAACTCAGGCAAGTATTCGGGCTGCGTGTAGCTGGTGTTTTGAAACCATTGATAATAGTTCCGTACGACTGAAAATCCTGTGGAAGGGTTGGTGCAACTGAGCCCTCCCGGGTACGAGTCTAAGCCATAGACGTTGACCGCACCACCCACATCCTCATAGTCTGTCGACCAACTTCGAGATCGCTGGCCTTTCTCGTTGCTAGTGAAGGGAACGTCCACGCCAGCAGCTCGAAATGCCTCCTCAATCTGCTCCATATACTCGACCAAGGTATTGGTGGCAGAATGCGTGGTCTCCTGAAGTTCATTCTCGATCTGGTTGAGAATGACTGGCCCACCGTTTGTGATGGAATTTTCCGCAATGATCTTACCAATACGCTCAATCCAGGGAGTCCATGCCTGGTGATATGTCGCATCGCTCGTTCGCAATTTACCACCGCTCCCGTCGCTCAGGTATAGAGCTAGACCACCTCCGTTGAATTCAGCATTGCAGTAGGGCCCAGCACTGGTTTGATGTCAGCGATTCCCGAGGAAACGGGGAGCAACTATGTCTAACCGTGCGATGATGTAGATTCCAGCCTCTTGGGCATAGTCGAATAAGCGCTGGATATTGTGTGCTCCGGTCTCAAAGTCATATGTCCCATTGATTGGAGAGTGATAGTCCCAGAAGAAATATAGACTATGTGACAGCCGTCAGAAGTCACGGGTCTGGAAGAACTCTTGGATATTCACATTGCACAAACCTAACAGTGTTGAAGCCATGTGCGCGCATCTTCTGAAAGACATCAAGCCACATTTCCGGAACGGGCAATCGGGGATAATGGAACTCTCCGGAATAGACAAACAAGCGATTGCCATTGACGGTCAGACTATAAGGGTCCCAGGCGACCAGATCTGTCAGACCATCTGTAGTCGCCCGGATTTGGGCGACCAAGATGGCCCAGCACGAAAGTATGAACTGCAGCTTCATGGTACTATCGCCCACGCGCAATAATTTCTTAGCATCTATGCCGTTCCCTCACATTATATATCATCGGCGATTGCACTGCCGAGCCGGTTAAAGAATCATGGGTTTGACACCATTTCGCGCTATTAACCACGCGAGAAAACGGCGAACAGTACATGGGGGTAAGTGGCGTGAAATGTTCATGCAGAAATGGCACGCATATGCAGGTTCAATTACTCCAACTGCCATGGGGCCTGCCCCTATGCGGGTGGATTGGTGGAATAATACTATTAATTATTCAATCGGGCCAATTCTACCCCGATATTCATCACGTCAGGAGAGGAGAGACCGGGGATATTCCCGGCGGGATTGCGGGGTAAGCAATGGGATTTGGTAATATACCCCCTTTTTTTTTAAGTTCTCTGAAAGACAGGGTACCGTTTTGACATTGTACATAGTGTACATGATTCAGCATGTGCGCTTCACACTGGACAGAACCTGAAGATGCAGATTCAGATAACAGACTTAGCTTTCGGCTTCCCCGCTAATATCGGGCAGAAGATCTCCGACCTCCTCTGCGTTCCTAAGCTACTTGCAGAGACCAGGTGCAGCTGTGAACATCTTTTCTACACATAAAGCTGTCCTTTTTTCAGTGTGCCATGTCACCATTGTGCAATCATGGTGGCGCGTAGAAGATAGCTGAGCTACCAGCCGCACTTGGTGGAGACCAGATCGAATTCCACATTACTCAGTGGAGTGGAGAAGCAGACACCAACAACATTCTGTTGGGGATCTGAGGGATAAGCTCTCTCTCTCTCTCTCTCTCTCCCCTTGCCAAAACAAGTGATGGTCGAATGAAAGAAAATGGGTGGTCGGAGAGCCTGCTTGCCACACGGCAAGTATTGAGAATTCTTATGAGCTTTACATGCTGGCACTTATTTGTGTAGGTGCACCATCAGGCATGACGGACTATGTGATCGAACAACTACTTCCCGATCGGGATCGACAGTGGAACCCAAATTGTGCAGTGTTCACAGCCAAAGCGTATAGCAGGGACAGTGGAAAGCGCATCAAAGTTTGCACGGAAGCACACCCCTTTTTGGGGCAAACCTCGGCAGCAGCTTATCGGAGCTTATCACTAATCGGTCCAGCCGCCCCACGGCAAGTTTTTCCGCCGCCGCCCTGTCTTTCTTTAAGCCTTCTGGAATCCCGCCCTTTTGTTGTAGGCGATCCTTCATGCATAGACCATCATAGACTGTGTCGTTTTCTTTCTGTACATATTCCTTCGTTTGATCTCAATTTTTTTTTGCTCTCAGAATCTCCACATGGAGGCCATTTGCTCGTTGGCGAGCTCCCTTTGGGAGTCCGTCACTTTCTGGAAAGCTGCTGCCATCTTCTTCGCTTTGCTCAACCTGAAGACCCTCCCCATGATATGGCATGTACGTCGCATTCGGTCCCTTCGCATACCTTTATTATTTGAATGTCAATTTGCTGATAGCCCCAGGTCCGCGTGTACCGCTACTTCTTTAAGCATGGCTACCTCATCACTCCTGCCGTCGAACAGCCCGCCCGTCCCTGCACCGAGGTTCTCGAGCCCGTTAGCATCTACTCTCGCGCCCCCATTATGGAACTCGACTTCAACATGCACAAATCCAACTCGACCTACTTCTCCGACCTCGATGTCTCCCGTACCGCTCTCATGTCCAGTATCGTCGTGAAGGGAGCTGCGCTCCTGGAAAAGCGTCTGCAGGAACAAGGAAAGAAGGGTTTCTTGGGTTTCATTCTGGGCAGCGTCTACACCACCTTCAAGAGAGAGATTCCCGCATACGCCAAGTACGAGGTCAAGTCGCATGTGGCCAGTTTCGACCAGAAGTGGATCTACATCATCACCTACTTCCTGAAGCCGGGCAAGGGAAAGAAGGGCCAGGATGATCCCGAGGCGCTGAAGAAGAGACTCTACGCTGTGTCCATCAGCAAGTACGTTCTGAAGAAGGGCCGCTACACCGTTCCTCCCAAGGATGCTTTCGAGGCTGCGGGTTACACTCCGTTCCTCTTCCCCACGGCTGCTAATGGCTATGCCACTGGAGCTGAGAATGGTCACGCTAACGGGGATGCCGTTCAGCGTAAGGAGACCGCTGCTACCAATGGTACCTCGGATGAGTGGGAGCGTTTGAAGGCCGAGATTGATCGGGGCATGACTGTTGTGGAGCCGATTGTTGAGCAGGAGGATAGGCTCCTGGAGGACTATGTCCACAAGATGACCAAGCCTGGCTTTGCCTAGAGGATTGATATGTTTGTATTTGATAGACCGTTATAGATAGAACTCATTTCACTGCGAAGGATAGAGCGATAGATCAGCACTTAATACATATTCAGATCACGATTATCATGCTCCCTCTCAGGCTTATTCTTGGTCAACTTCAACATTTAACATCTGTTGGGCAATGCGGAGACTAGCCGCAATAGGTTAGCCCGCTACCCGATCCAGGAACCAACAGCATTACATGCAGCAAGGTCAACAAAGCGGTGTCTGAATCTATCCCTCGCAGGGTTGTTAATTCATTACTCGACCATTGTAAGACTCATGAAGCACCTAAGACCTCAAACCTCTCCGATTGATGGATTTCGATGATATAGTGCTTGCGCAGTTTGAAAGATTGAGGAAAGAATGGGTGAAACGCTGTTCAAAATCCGCCAGCGGCATCTGCGAACTGGCCAACAAGCACCGCAACCGCGATGATTGCTTGCTTCGGTCGATGCACAGCGGATCGTTCAACTTTAGTTTGCGTCTACACTGGGAGGATGATGGCGATGACTGGCTCATTCGGTTTCCGCTTCCAGGGAAATCCATGTTCCCGGAAGAGAAAGTTCGCGGAGAAGCCATACTTATGACATATATCGCAGACAACACGACCATTCCCGTTCCCCGAGTGATTGCCTCCGGGACAGCAGACGAGAATCCTACAGGTCTGGGTCCCTTCATTATTATGACCTGGGTCGAAGGGAGGAAGATGTCGGAACTACTCCGGACAAGTGATTCATCCGACAAGGAGGAAACCCTCAACCCAGATATCGACGAGGAGGCGCTCAAGGCGCTGTACGGGCAAATGGCACAGGTCTTGCTGGAACTGTGGAAACTCGACTTCGATTGCATTGGTAGCCTGGCTAACAACGAAGTGACTGGCAAGCCACAAGTGACCAAACGGCCCCTAACCCTCGCTATGAACGAGCTGGTCCGGACATGCGGGCTGACAGATCTTGATCCACCGAGAACCTATAACAGCTCCACAGACTACATCGTCTCGCTTCTCGAGTTGCAGTCGAAGCATCTTCAACAACAAAGAAACAGTATCTACGATTCCACAGATTGTCGTGAGAAATACGCTTGTCGTCATCTGATGAAAGCGTCAGCACTGAACTTTCTGTCCCTTGAAGATAATTATGGACCCTTCAAACTATTCTGCGATGATCTATGCCCTGGAAACGTTCTGGTGAATGACTCCCTTCAGATCACCGGCATTATTGATTGGGAATTCTGTTATGCGGCTCCGGCCCAATTTGCCGGCAGTATCCCGTGGTGGCTACTTCAGGAGCGACCACATCGGATCATCTACAACTATGGCATAAAGGCGTTCTTCGAGGATTTTTTACCGAAAGCAGACCTCTTCTTGCAGTGCATGGAGGCAAAGGAGACAGATTTGGGGGTTGACCCTTCTGATCATAATCTGTCAGTACGAATGCGCCGGTCAATTCAGGACAGAAGCGCGTGGTTCAATATGGCATGTCGCATGGTACCGTCAGTCGATATGATATATTGGGACTTATTAGATGAATACTGCTGGGGCCCGCGTAAGTCAATTGCAGAGAGGGTATACAACGCTACCACCGCCCCTGAGATGCATAAGGCTCGTGAGGACTTCGTCAAGGCGAAGATAAAACAACTGCAGCAATATCATGCAGAGCTCGGAGACGAGACCGTTGTCTCCTACGAAGAAGAACAGACCGGTGAAACGGAAGACTTTATGCAGGAATATAAAGTGAGTCGTAACGGAATTCTATATGTCATACTCTTTCTAACCATGAAATATAGAAACCTCAATTGGAGATGAGTGCGAGCCTATTCATAGCAACTGCCTTGGGTATTACAGCCTTGGCATTCACCACGGCGCGTATTATCATGAGACGGAGTAGCCTGTGACTGGATTTAGAACGAATATCTTCTTTTTTTGGACATTCACTAGATAATACGTCTCAGGTCCGGTGGGTCAACTACGACCCTGCATGATGACTAGTAACTTTATGTAGCTTATCAGATTTGCAAGTGAATAATATCAACATCGCTGGATTCACTGACTAGAGCTAAAGAAGAGAAGACAATATATGACCACACCGTACAGTGTTCAGATAGGGTTACCTGAGTTGGTTGTTCTTGTCGTTCCTTCCTCAGATTGAGATCATCAACACACAACCACACGATACCCACTTCAATCCAACACCTCTCTCAAAGCACTAACATGTTCCATCCACAAGTTACTTTTAGAGTTCCACGCTTGTCAAATACTGAAAAACAGATATTATTCTCGAGTACTAAGCTCAGGTATCAAACAACTATCACTCGCATCCATCAACTGATATATTACCACAACCATTAGACTTCATCATCGTCAAAGAGCACCTGGGCAAATAATAAGCGTCTACCAACAGCGATACCATATCCCAGGACCGATCATTTCTCATTGTACTCCTGTGGGTGACCCTCAGCGTGCCCTTCCGCCAGGTTCTCCGCATGCTCATAGAATCTGGGCAGTGGTTCCAACTTCTGCCGAAGTACCCAAACGCGGAAATGCCACCATGCATTCTTCAATTGGTAGGATGCGTGCTTGCGTGTCGAGACCGAAAATACTTGATCAAGCTCTTCCAGTGTGAGTTCTATCTAACGTTAGCTCTGACCATTGACCATGGAAAAATGCGCACTTACCCTTAGTCTCTGGCACGAACAGCAGGACTAGGAACCATCCAATCACACACCATGCGGCATACCATCCGAATGCACCCTGAGGCTTGAATGCTCTTAGGAGCATAGGCCAGGTGAACGACAGAATAAAGTTGAAACACCATGTTGTCGCAGTGGCCCATGACATGCCAACCTCACGCACCTGCAGTGGGAATGCTTCGGCAGAATAGGTAAATGGCACAGGTCCTTCACCCGGGGAATAGAAAACCTCGAACAGATACATGCCCGTTGTGACCATGGCCACCCGCTTCTTACTGGTTGAGTCCTCCGGGTCAATCCAGAACGAGAACCCAGTCCAGAGAAGCCAGATGGCTAGGAATGGAAAAGTGAAGAGCAGCAGGTTCCGGCGGCCCCATGTGTCAATAGTGAAGAATGCGGGGAGGGCAAAAACCCAATTCAAGATCCCTGTTCCCATGCTGGCCAATAGGGCTTGCTGGATACTATATCCGGAATCAACGAAAATGGTTGTGGAATAATAAGCTATCACATTCACTCCACAGAATTGTTGCAGAAACATGACAATCCAGCTAGCAAGCGTGGCGCGACGATTGCGTGGGATCGTAAAGAGCTCGAGGAACATGGAGAAGAAGTTCTTCCCGGTGTTGACTTTCCGTTCCAGCTCCACCTGGACGTACGCGTAGTACAAGTCTCGGGCCGCCTGCAGATCAGTGGGGCGGAGCGTGCGGAAAGACTTGAAAGCCTGGTGAATTCGGTTGTGTTGAATAAGCCACCGAGGGGACTCTGGGCAGAAATAGACTTGCGCGCAGACAACAAGGGGCAGGACCACGGTTGATCCGAGCATAAGACGCCACGAGAGATCTCTCGATACGCCCATGAAAGCAACGCCCATGATATTACCAAGCATAATGCCGAATGCTGTCCACATCTGCCACATCATAACAAGGGCACCTCGGATGGGGGCCGGGGAACATTCAGCCGCATACACGGGCACAGTCGATGATTTGGAACCAATACCAAGGCCAAGGACAAACCGTGCAATGAAGAGGTTAACCCAGGAATTAGCCACGCCTTCCCAGATGGAAGCCACTGCTGCAATGAAGCAAGACCAGAAGATTGTCCCACGTCGCGCCAGGTATCTGTTCATAGGCTCGGTGAGCCAACAACCGAGAATTGCACACGCTAGATAGGGAGCACCGACGACAAGCCCGGTAAGGTAATCTTGCATTTGCTCCGAAAATCGGGGTGCAGTGATCCCAAGTTCCTGCTGGTTGTTAGCATGGGCCACTTGAGTATAAAGACGAGAGAGTACTTACATCAAGATAGATAGCCTGGGCGCCATTGTTGACAGTCTCATCCATACCTTGTACAGCGGCTGCAAGAGAACACATGGCTATATAGAAGCATCGTCAGCATTGATATGAGAAAAGTTTGTGACAGGTAGTACTGATAAAAGCACCTACATGCCATGAAGTAAAGCTGCCAAGGTTGCGACCATTTATGCGTCTGTTCCCGCCGGAGGGTCTCCTTGTCCGCCTCGGTCAGGTCAGGAAGGTCCAATGCGCCCTGCGGATTCTGTGAGATCAAGGCGCCCTTGCGGAATTCGTCCAAGTGGGCTTCGAGACCGTACTGGCGACAGAAGCGCTCCACGTCGCCGAGGAGTTGCTCTCGCGGCACGCCTGCCAAGGGGTTTTCGAATACGGCGTTAAGACCGCCCGAGCGCCCTTCGATGTCGAAGACATCGTGTCGCTGCTGTGGCTTCTCAGCGTGCTCAACGCTAGCAGGGTTTTCGTCCTTGTGAACGGCCTTCGCCGTGACCTCTTCTCCGTCCATTGCGAGAGGTCAACTAGACACAGGATGCCCACACAGTAGATGCGCTTATAATCTTGCTGACGAGGTATCAAATCACGATTCAGAAGGGAAGGTGGTTCAAGTAATGGAGAGGAACCGGAAGGCCGATACCTTGAACTTTCTACGCGACTGTGGCTTGGAGGCCAACAAGAACATACTTCAGTCGCAAGACTTGAGGATTGGGCGGCTTGAAAAACACCTTTTTCACGTTTCAGGGTTAATCAAAGCCCTCGGGGTGGTGGGAGAGACCCCGGCCATTTATCAAATCTCACCCGAGAGCCTTGTCCTCGGGGGTGGATCCCGTCAGTGCATTTGCCGAATGACGACGAGACATCGACTTGGCTAAAACGGCGCATGGGCACAGAGTTCGACTAATCGTTGAGTTCTTTGATGCGGCATCTACCGACCGCTACGCGTGTGCCAGCCAACCAGGCGGCATCTGGTTGGATTGGAAATACTTTGACCATAAGGCTCCGTTACATCCTAGTCGATGTGGACATAAAGAACTGGATTGGATTGGTCACTTTAGACCAGGATGGCCCTTTTTCATGCCGTCATTCGAGGATTGCATCAAAGGTGGCCGGTCTCCGCAAAGGAGGGGATGAGGGGAACAACCGAAGCCGGCGTCTGTGGTTGCGGTCGGGCGCCGACATGACATGACCCCAGATAGGTATGAGGACATGGGGGGATACCAGAGTCAACCATGGATAAGGTCAGTGTACATCGACGATTGAATAGCGTGAAAGCAGATCCCCGGCTGGGGAAACCCCACGGGGATTGGTAGGCCAGGCCAGATGGACGGGATGCAGCAATGGTCAGACCACGAGACAGCCGTGGGTCTGTCTAACCCAACTTCGGTTGCTTACAAGAGATATGATTTGAGTGGGAATCCCACGCTACGGAAAGCTAACGTGAGCCGGTCGGGAGTTAGTTGAAGCTAGGGAAATTAATCGATTGCCCTGTCACATTCCTGTTACCATTGTTAGGTTGTTACACGCCGGGATTTCCTAATGCGGCGGGGACTCGGCCTCAGGCCCCCACTGGTGGCCACGTGATCTCCAGCTTCTAGTGATGCCCCAATCCAACCGCCCACAGGTTACCCAACATCAGGATCAGGAGTTGTACTCGTACTGAGGGAAATAACTCTTTTGACTTCATGGGTCATTGGTTGCTTGTGTCGCATTGGCTCCCTTGGCGGTGTTCCATCTGATCCAGAGCAACGTAGGTGGCGGCCGATCTATCCGACGTGGCGCTGCCGGCCAAAGCTACCAAAGCTTCCAACACGGCTCCTGGTGCTTGCAGATGACCGCGCCCAGCCCTTGGCTCCTCCAATCGCTGTCTGTCGCCCGCAAGCCTTCCTGAATCAAACAGAAACCGAGCGGTCGGGGTAATCCAGCTGGGAGGCATGGTCTGACAGCCTCTCCCTCATCTTCCTCATCACATGGAAGACAGTATAGTAGTACCTTGCACTGACGCCTACTTCAGCCTTAAGGCTCAGCTACGGGCATTCCTACTTGCCCTAGAGCCGCTGAGACGTCCATGCATCAGTCCACGTGTTCTGAGAGGTGGTACGCCTAATTGGGCGTCCTGCAATGAGCCAAATTGGATATCCAGACGGCTGTCAGGATATGAGACTACGCTAGACACAAGCGAAATGTATGGATTGCGGGGAAAGGGTGGAGAAATGCGGGCGGAAATACGCTGCCAATTACCCTCCTTGCGACCTAGAACTCAGGCCTAAGCGATTTCGTGCGGGTGCGCTTTGCAGCATAAGTTATACACGTGGTAGTGAGCCCTGACATTTCCGTGCTGTCTCGAGATATACAAGTCGCATAATATCTCGTATTGCTGAGCAAGGAGGTGGGCTGGCACAACTAGGGCGAAGATCATTACCCGCCTTGGGTGGTCCTATACATCCCATTTCCGATGATTGGGTGAACATTTAGCAGGACTGTTACATCCAGATTGCACCAATGAGGGTGTTAGGCCTCCAAAACCGAGTGAGCAACTAAAGTCGGATAACACCAAATCAAGACTGTTTTGTTTTAATTCATGCTCGGCCATGATATGCCAGTCTTTCCTGGTTATAGCCCACGCGTGGAAGGGGTTACACACGACGTGAAGCCAGCTAGTGCCAGCTACGTCGTCTACTTTCAGCCACCATGAAGATAAGCAAGTAACTATTTTCGCCAAGTTGCACGCCAGTAAGCCACTTGGATCTTTGACTTTCCACAAACTTCTACTGAAGTAAGGTGGTGGATCACCCTTTTTCCGGCCGCAGCCACT